GGTTTCAAGCTTTAACCATTATTTTACTAATTCATTCAATTAATTTTCCAACATATGTATTACCCAGTATGAATTTATCTTTTTCCATTTTGCTTCTCTTTCGAAAATTTCTCTTTCGAAAATTGCTCATAATCCATATTTTTGTTTTATTCATTTTTATTTTTCATTTAAATTACCCAAACACCCTTTAAAACGCCCCTTAAAACGCCACTTTATCTATTGTTTCCCGCAATCCGGCAGGTTGGATTGCACTTTCACAAAATTACTTAGTTCAAGTTGTTATTTATCAAAATAAAAAGATTAGGTTGCATTTTTACAAAAGAGACAAAGATCAGGTTGGTCTAAATTTTTTTCCCAATCATTTATAAATGTGTCATTGATGAAAAAACAATTTCAAAGCTAAATAACAAAACCCAGAAAGCAATCATCCACAAAGTTGGTAATTGCAACTAAAAAGAAAAAAAAAATCATAAACATTCAAATAAAAGGGTTTTTTTTTTTTATAGATGAGAGTAATCTTATTGATAATTAAACAACACCTGCTTATAATTTAGCAATAAGTTTTTTTTTTTTTTTAAAAAAAAGTAGTGAGGAATAAAAGCAAACACTTGGTGGGCATACAAAACCAAACCCGATCACGCAGAACAGATCTCCTTCAGCTTCCCCGCCACAGATTCTCCCACGGAATACTGCAGATGACACAAACACCGCCTCAATTCAATTTCACCGTCTATTGTGTGTGTGTGTGAGAGAGAGAGAGAGTGAGAGAGAGAGAGAGACAGACAGACAGAGAGAGAATGAAAGAGATGACCTTGTTGAGGACCCAGAGAGAGTGAGTATAAGTTCGCCGGAGCAGCTCGCCAACGGCGGCGGAGTCATTGGGGTCGGCGTCTCTGTAGTTGACGAAGTTTTCACGCGCGTATTTGGCGTAGTAACCCCTGGTGTCCTCCGGCAGCCGTCGTACCAGCCTCAGAACCTCTCCGTAAGCTCTCAACGCCTTCTTCATCTCTCCGATTAAACTATTGAAATGCTCAATATCAAGGTGAAATCAGAAGAAAATTCGTTTAAATCGGGCTGTAACAAGCTCTAAGTGTAGAAAATGCAAAGGAAAACAGTTATGGTGTACCTTTTGTTGGGCATGCTGGGCTGTTAGCATCTCTGATGATATGTTAATTAGTGCGTGCGATTGACGAGCTAGTTTTATTAAGGTAAACAGTTAAATTTGGATGATTGGAATAACGTAAAATACATATATTGAAATGAAACACAATGTAACGTTATATATTATTAAACACATCATTGTACAAAATTATTTGTTTGGTCTTTTGGTACATCGTCTATCGCCACAAATTATATTAAGATTATAGATAGTCTTAAATAAATCGACTAAATTATTTAGCAGAATATATACGATATTTTGTAAGTGTATGAAATCATTATTTATTTTCTAAGTGTATTCAATCAATTTCAAATTTGTATTTTAGATAATTAAACAAAACCCAAATTTTTAGGATGTTACAATCTAATTTCATTTTGAATTTTAAATTAATATTATATGACTTTGTTTTATATTTAAAAAAAATCCGAATTAAAGAAAGTAGTAATCAAATGATAAAAAATTTTTAAATTTTAATTTGAAATTTGGCCCGATTTTTATGTAATCCAATTATTTTAATAAACGTGATCTGCTACAGTTAGGTAAAGATACATGTTATAGTGTTTTGTCTAATTCAAAATTCTCGATTGTATGGTAAACAAATTTTTTTAATAAAAAAATGAAAGAATTTTGACTTTTACAAAATTGTCATGCCGACTATGCAATTCGATTTTTATAATAAATAATTGATTTGTTGCAATTAGTAAAAGATATATGTGATACTACTTTGTCTAATTCGAAATTCTTGATTTTATTTTAATCAATTTTTTTAATAAAAATAGAGAAAGAAAATTAACTTTTGCATCTGTCGAAATTTACCTAAATTAAATCCACAAAATATATAAATTTAGGGTGCATATTAAAAAAAATAAAATTGTTGCATCATTTCAAGATTAAATCAACCGTCATTAGTTTTATTTAAAATATAATAGTTTCCAAACAAAACACTTTAGTTAGCCAAGAATTTATGGTATGTAATATGGTTTCTTTAAGGTAGCACGATTTTTTGAAAGAAAAGTAACCGTAATTTTAGGGTAGCGTTTAATGCTGATTTTTTTGAAAAAAAAAGAAGTTACTAAGTATGAAATGTAATTAAAATGCTAATTAAGATTTGACCAAAATTTGACCTACTATTTTTAAAAAATGGTAATTCTTTTTATATATATATAGATTAGAGAATTGTAGATGCTTTGGGACAAAAACTTCCTCCAACTGTGGCTTTTTAATTTCTTTCTTGTCATGATGTGGCATGAGATAAAATAAAATCGTGCATTCCACGGATGTTTGTTAAATATATATATATATATATATATATATATATATATATAAAGTAATAAAAAATTATGTTTTAAATTTTAAATATTTTTTTTGAAAATATATTATTTATTATTATTATTATTATTATTATTATTATTATTATTATTATTATTATTCTTATTATTATTATTATTATTATTATTTATAGTTCAAATGACAATATCACATATAATATTTAATCATCTTATATTATAATATTTTTTGAACTTATATCATATGACAACGTTGTAGTAAAGTATATTTAATTGTATACATAATTTTATTTTAAAAATAAATTAAAGATAATTTAATTTTTATTTTTAAATATAGATATAATTATTTATTACTTTATCATATAATATCAATGCCAAATCGAAAATAATGAATCAATGATAGATTTGATATATTATACATGATAAATTGATAAATGATAATAAATATAAAAGTTAACTTTTAAAATATAAACAATTTAAGTTAGTTAAATTATAATAATTAAAAAAATTGGGAGAAAAATAAAGATTGAGGCGAAAAATTCTACTCCTTATAAACCACACTAGTACATATCCCGTGCGATGCACGGGGTGTACAAAATTAAGGTCATTTATCAAGTCTTATAATTATATAAATGAATAAAGAAAAATATATAGGATATATATAGTACGTGACCTGCAATGGGCCAAAATGTGAACACAGGTGATGCACGGGGTGCACAATTTTAAGGTCATTTATTAATACAGAGTCCGTGCGATGCATGGGGTGCACAATTTTATAGTATGTGTAATACAAATACATACCGTATGCACGGGACAAAAGCACTAAATGAGTTATTTCCACAGAGCTTGCTCGTTAAATAGCTTCTGAACACGGGTGCACAATTTGTAGTACGTACTATAAAATCAGAATAAATTTTCATACAATTAGATAGTAAATTAGATAATAAATAAAGCCTTTTTATTTTCGTAAAGATTTTACGTACTTTTTTAAACTTATCGGATTTTTTTGTTAAACCGATTTTATGGGATATAATACAAATACAATTAGAGGATTGAACAAAATCAGAACATATTTCTATACAATTAGATAATAAGAAGGAATTAGATAAGGAAAAGAAGAAATTAGATAAAGAATTTTGAATCTACTTTTTTAGTATAGATAGACTCTACGTACAAATTTTGACTTCACCGATTTTATGAGATTTGTTTTGACAAAATCAAAGACGAACACTGAAGACTGTTTCTATTAACATTTACAATGTATTTAATGTTTTTTTGGCAAAATATTCTTTTGAGTGTGATATATAAATAGTAAAAATACTTAAAATATTTTATAACATCTATAAAAGCATCTAAAATATTCTATATTATTCACAAATAATGTTTGAAGCTACCTAAATTTTTTTAAACTACCCGTAAGAAAAATATGTCTAAAAATTCTTCATTTAACCTGCATATATGTAAATATAGAGAGAGAGCAAATGTGTAAAAAACATTATACAAATAATATCTAAAAGTATCTAAAATATTAGTAATTAGACAAGTGAAATTTAGATTTTTAAAAAATCTATATAGATAATGAATTTATAGCAGTAATTAGACTTTTATTTATTTACCTTTAAAGTTGTTACGATAGATGAGGGATGTGATTTTTTTGACTCGTGAAGATGGAATTTTTATAAGTTGGGTTATCAAATTTTCTTAAACTCGTTCATATCTATGCGATGAGTTTTTTAAGCTGGGTATATAGATTAAAATTGTAAAAAAAAAAAAAAAATCATAAATCATTTGATTTGATATTTTTGAAGAGCTTCATTAATTTAAAAGTGTAAAATAAATAAATAAAAAAAGTACAACTGAAAAAGGTACAACCAATTGTATGGAGAATTAAACTAAATCCAATTTTGTAAGGTGCATTAAATATTGATTAGATGTTATATGTAAAATAAAAAATAAATGGAATAGTTTTACGTGTTGTAATATTTTATATTTATAAAAATTAAAAAATCTTCTTTTACGTATTGCATACCAACATTTTAGGAACTATATGGATATTCATAAATTAATATTGCAAACTCAATATTTTATGAATTAATTAAATGCTAATTTAATTTGCATACAAAAATATTAGATGCATTAATTAAATGCTTGATAAAAATAGCAAATCATTAATCAGAGTTGACTATTCTATCTACATTTAGTAAATAGTATAGCTTTTAATATAAGTATAGATTTATAATAGGAAATTATATTAAAACACAATTAATACTCATAAAAATTGTCATAAATATCTAGTATATTTATGGATGATTTCAAGTCTGATTATTTATGGATTGTAAGAAAATTAAAAGTTATCCAAGCCAACTTATGAAGAATGAAATTATGTCAAATAGTATCCCGAAGCGTGAGAGTTAACTACTTAAGCTCCACACATTTATA